AAAAAAAAAAAAAAAAAAAAAAAAAATGGGCAAAGGATCTGAATAGACATTTCTCCAAGGAAGAAATACCAATGGCCAATAAATACATGAAAAAGCTGCTCACCATCATTAGCCACTAGGGAAATGCAAATCAAAGCCACGAAAATATAACACTTTATGTCCACGAGAAGGGCCGTAATAAAAAAGATAAACAATAACAAGTGTTGTCTAGACTGTGGAGAAACTGGAACCCTCCTACACTGCTGGTGGGAATGTAAAATGGCCCAGCCACTTTGGAAAACAGTCTAGCAGTTCCTCAAAATGTTAAACATAGACTTACCCTCTGGCCCAGCAATTCCATATGGAAGGAAAGCATATGTCCACACAGAACTTGAACATGAGTGTTCACAGGAGCATTACTCATAATAGCCAAAAAGTGGAAACAACCCACATGTCTATCAACTGTTGAGTGGATAAATAAAATGTGGTAGCAAAGGACTTGGAAAGGAACCAAGGCTTGATACGTTTGCCAACATGAATGAACCTTTAAAACATCATGCTAAGTGACAAAAAGCCAGTTATAAAAGATCACCTATTATAAGATGCCATTTATATGAAATGTTCAGAATAGGCAAATCTATTTTTGTCATGGGCAAACCTGTAACAGAAAGTAGATGATTGGTTGCCTAGCGCTTGAGGGTAAAAGAACAGGTTGGGGGAGAGGTACTGCTAGTGGGTCCAGGGTGACTTTTTGGGGTAGAGAAAATGTCCTAAAATCGGTTGTGGTGATGGTGGTACGACTCTGAATAAACTAAAAACCATTAACTTGTATACTTTAAATGGGTGAATTGTAACATATGTGACTTATATCTTAATCTAGCTCTTATCCATATTTTTAAAAAGGTGGAAGGGTGGGCAGCAAAAGGGAAGGAGCTTTGGGGATGATGGAAATATTCTAAATATTGACTGTGGTGACGGTTCCTGAGGTGTGTAAATTTGTCAAACCTCATCAAAATGTGTGATGTACATTAATCTTCAATGAAGTTGATTAAAAAAACAGGTGGGGCTGCCCTGGTGGCGCAGCGGTTGGTAGTCCGCCTGCCAATGCAGGGGACACGGGTTCATGCCCTGGTCTGGGGAGGATCCCGCATGCCGCGGATCGGCTGGGCCCGTGAGCCGTGGCCGCTGAGCCTGCGCGTCCGGAGCCTGCGCGTCCGGAGCCTGTGCTCTGCAAAGGGAGAGGCCACAACAGTGAGAGGCCCGCGTACCGCAAAAAAAAAAAACAGGTGGAGAAGGCAGGAAGAAGCCACCGGATGGGCAGCAGCAGGCAGCACAGGGCAGGTCTCTCCCGCCTCCAGGGTAAACAACGCAGAGGGGACCTGGACTCCTGGCCTCTGTTGGCAAAGGGATCCCACACCCCTCTGTTTGGTTCTCTCAGCCACCCTGGGGCACCCAGCATTTCGCCCCAAGCCAGCTCCTCCTGACCCAACCTGCCTCCCCTGGCCAGCTGCCAACTCTAATCTCCACCTCCTCAGGCTTCGCAGCGCCCTGTCACTGGGGCCAGGAGATGCATGTGCATCCTTGCACCCTCGGGGGCCACCTGCTGCTTCCTTACAGATAAGGTTGGCGGGGGGCTGGAGCAGAGTGGGTGCTGCCCAGAGATCAAGAGCACCCCAGCTCCACCCCCCAAGGCAACGGTTTTCTCCCACAGCCAAGGCAGACGCCTGCAGGGAGTGGAGTGGAGTTGAGAAGCCAGCAGAAGCCAGGAATGACCCTAACATGGATCAAGCGCTGTTGACACTCAGCACAGATAACTTACTCTTCTTCCCATTTTGCAGGCCGGGCGACTGAAGCTTAATGTTTTAGGGAACTCGCCAATGTCACCCAGCTGCTAAAAGTGGCGGAAGCTGGGATTCTAACCCAAGCTGGCCTTCTTCCAAAGCCTGTTCCACAGCAAGGAGGTTGGAGGAAGAGGATAAGGGGCGGGGGGAGGGCCAAACTCCACATCCCTCGAGCTCCTTAGGCTGAGCTTGTCCCACAGCTCTCTCCTTCCCAGAAAAGAAAGATACCTATCAGATCACGAGAGCCTCAAGTCCCAGACACTAGGAAGGGCGACTCCTTGCCTCCAGGCACCTGAAGACGGCAGGGATGTGGTTACTGCTCCCAAGGATTGTTAGAATTCTCACTCCTGCATCCACAGCCCCTGATTCAAAGCCAAGGTGGCCAAAGTGGAAAACAGGGACCGTCCACAAGTGGGGGCCTGGAGGAAATGAGGCCATTAACTTTGTACAAATGGTTCCTTGAAGACCTGGGGGCTCAAGTGGCCTGGAAAAGGAGAAGCACACTGCCTCCCCCTCCCTTTACAATCAAATCCAGCTTGCAGGCTCTCCTTTGCCTCACTCAGCCTTACAATAGAAAGAAAGCCCTCACCCAGCTAGTAGCTGCTGCACTTCTGGGAGTCGCCACCTTGCTCGAGACCTGAGGCTGCAAAGGGATCAGTCCCAGGATCTGGACGCCCGCAGGACACCTGGCGTTCAGTGAAAACTGGATTCGAAGAATGAGGTAGAGTGGGTCATTCTCTAGAGGAAGTTTGAAGAGGTCAAGAAATGGGGCCGCCCAATCCCCTGCGGAGTGCTCGGTCTTGAGCAGCCCGGCTTTCTTTCTCCTTTGCCGGCGACCACCTTCCCCCTCTGCTGCCCCTCCCGAGCCCCACCGGCCCCTTCTCGGGCATACCTGAACACATGCTGGAATAGAAGCCCTCGTTCTTGAGCATGATCAGCAGGGAGCTCCAGCCCAGGAGCACCGCGGAAAAGAAGAGGTTCTCCAGCACGGCCGTGCACGCCATCCACCAGCGCCTCCGGTACGCCTCCTCCAGCGTGGGGGCCATACTGGTCGCGAGCCTGCCCAGGAGCAGAGCACTGAGCGAAGGGCCCAGAGGACCGAGAGAAGCATCCTGTATCATGATGGCTCCCGAGACCCCTCGAGCCAGCCCGCAAGGGGGCCTTCACGGAGGCCCCATAGAGCCCTGGGCTTCCCAGCGGGTGCCGCCGAGCTGGCTCTGGGCGCACTGGCAGCGCCAGGGGCGCACGAGGCGCTGGGCTCCCGCCGTGTCGCTATCAGAGACAAGGAAGGTCCTGTCTGTGCGCAACAGCTTCTTGGCGCGCTGCCGGGCTCTTCCACCCTGGCCAAGGCACGCAGAGCCCGGCTCCTGGGGACCAATCCCGCACTTCCCCAAGTCCCCAAAGGTCAGCAAGGGTCAGGGCGCGCTCTGAAGCAACCGCTGGCCAGTATCCGGCCTCCCGCTCCAGGAAGGACCCCCAGAAGCAAGCAGGGGGAGGAAGGGGAAGTCTGATGTTAGCTCAAGGACACCCTCCCCTCTTCCTGTTGCCCCTATAAGACCACTCCTCTTCTCTGGGGCCGGGCTTCAGCAAGCCCTCCCCCTTTCCGCACTAGGCGACCCAAGTCCCTACAGTCTCTCGCTCTAAGCCGACAGCTGCCACGTGGAAGGAGACCCAGGCAGGCCCTCCAGCGCCGCCGGCGCCACCCATTCACACGGGCACCCAGCTGCGAGCCGGGGAACATGCCCGCCCTCTCTCGCCCGGGGAGGGGGCTCGGGCACCCGCAGGAAGTCCGACGGCCGCTGACTTTATAAGAGCAGTGGCGGCGGAGGGGCTGGCGGGAGGGTGGGTTTAACGGAGAGAGAAGGAGCCCGAGCACCCACCCCCACCCCCTCCGCCTAGGCCACGGCCGGCGCCGCGGGAGAAGACTGGGCGCGGGCGGCGCGGGGGCGTAGAGCGGCCGGTGAGACCGAGAAAAGCAGGGAGGAGAGGGACAGGAAGGGCAAGAGAGAAAGGGCGCGAGGGAGCGGAGCAAAGCACGAATGCCTTCGCCGGAGGGCCTCAGTACTCTCATCTGTGAAATGGGGCTTTGCATTTAGGAGTTGCCGCAGGTCCGTTCGAACTCCGACAAGAGTGTTTCTCTAAACGGAGGCAGTGCAGCAAGAGAGGGCACCGAGGGGCCAGACCAAAGGGGAAGGAGGGACGCGCTTGGAGAGGCGGGACCCACGGGCTCAGGTAACGGGTCTTTCCTGGGGAGCCTGGAAGTGTCGGTGGGAGCCAGCCGGGTGACTCTCAGAGAACGTTCAGCCCGGGACCCGGACCCCAGCCGCACCCGCTGCTCACCTCTGATCCGGGGCAAACGCGCCTCCTGTAGCCGCCGACCGGTCGGGGAGCGGCGCGTGCACAATTTCGGCGTCCGGCGTCCGGCGGGCCCAGCTCGGAACCGCAGCGGCGCTCGGGGCTTCTCTGCGCGCCGGGTCTGGGCGGCCTCGGAGATTCTGCCGGACAGCCTGGTGTTCTCACCGCCTCGGTCCCATCGGAAGAAGTCGGGGAACGGGAACCCGGCGGGCGCCACCAATCCGCGAAATGAGGCTAGGACGAAGTGGATCGACGGAGTGAACAGTTGTACTTACAACCGGCCGGGGCTGCACCCCGAGGTAGGGGCGGGGGCTCCCTTCCCTAACCCTCCCCCTAGGTCGAGTTTCACGGGCACGTGACTCGTCCTCTGGTCCCCAGATACTCTCCCCGGCACACGCCCCTGCACCTAAAATGTCCACCCTTACTCCCTCCCCCCCCCCTCCCCCTCGGCCCCCCAGACAGAATCGGGGCAGCGCCCTCTGTATCCTTGGTCAAAACAAAGAACAACTCGGCTGGAGCCGACTGACCGCGATGCAGGGCAGCCTTGGGTGGGGTTTTGAACTGTGCACTTGGGAGTAGAGTTTTCCGAGAGGCAGAATGACCCGGGTTTCTTTGTGGAATTAGATCGAGGTCTGAGAGTGGACTTGAAAACTGGCCTGGGTTATCCTGAGCAAGTTGCTTAACCTCTCTGAGCCTCGGTTCTCATAATAATAGTACCTACCTTACAGCAGTACCCACAATAGTACTGCCGAGAGGTGGGGGCTGGAATTGGGGGTTGTGAGGCAGGTAAAGTGCTCATCACAGCGCTTGGCACAAAGTAAGCATAATAAATGTTCACTGTTGTTGTTACTACTGTCATTATTATTATTTTAGAAGATGTGGTGATGGGATGCTTCCAGCCACTTACTGATTCCTGGTAAATCTCTCAACCTCCCAGAGCCTCAGTTTCCTCATCTGTAAAATAGAGGATGAACTGTGGTGTGGATTAATGGGATGAGGTCAAGGGCAAATAAATACAGATGTGAGTTTATTAGTGTGTTGAGAGTGATATTCGTGATACTCACAAAGCTCTGTGGGCATGTGAGCAACTGCCCAGGAAGTTCCAGACCCCAGACAGGAGGGGCTCTCTGAACGGCTGAGCCACCTAGCCACGAGAGGAACTTACATTTGCCGAGTGGCTACTGTATGCTGGGCACTTTCCAAACAAAAATTATCATTAAATCGTCCAAACATTACAGGCTCATCTAAACCTCAGAGCTTTTCACAGAGGGAGAAGACTGGAGGCTGGCAGCTGGAAAATGGTGGGCAGAAGCAGGATGCAAAGTCAGGTCTGTCTGGCTTTGAAAGTGTGGCCTTTTCCATTCCTCCAGGTCGGGAAGAAACAGCAAGAGCAAAGGCTTAGCAGCAGAAAATGCACAAGGAGTTCTCTCTGGCAGGAGCACAGTGTCAGGCTCTGATGCTTTCACTTCTCAAAATGAATTACTGGCTCCCAGAACTTCCGCATCAAGGTCAAACTCCTTAGTTTTGCACAAGGGGCCCTAGAATAAGGACCCCCATGCCCAAGGCGGTCATGGATGGATCCCTTTGAGAATGCAATAAAGTTTTATGAGTCCATTCCCTATGAAAATGCCTGTGTGAACATGAACACACACGTATATTTACATTTAATTTCCAAGGGTTTTGTGGAACCCCTCTACAGACTCTAGGGGTCCATGGGCCCCCGTGGCTGAAATGCTTGCCGCTCCTTATCTCCAACCCACATTTTGATATTTTCCCCTTGTGAACTGTCAGCTCCATGGGGGCAAGGGTCTGGTCTGCTGTGATCACTGCTGTATCTCCAGCACCAAAAACAGCACCTGGCACCTAAGACGCATTCAGTAAATACCTGTGGAATGAAGTGTGAAGCCAGCTGGTTTCACACCTCCTGCCCTTTGCACCTGCTGTTCCTTCATTTCTTTTTTTTTTCCTACAAATTTATTTATTTATTTTTGGCTGCGTTGGGTCTTCGTTGCTGCACATGGGCTTTCTCCAGTTGTGGTGAGTGGGGGCTACTCTTCCTTGTGATGCGTGGGTTTCTCATTGCGGTGGCTTCTCTTGTTGTGGAGCACGGGCTCTAGGCACGTGGGCTTCAGTAGTTGTGGCACATGGGCTTAGTTCTAAGTTCCACAGCATGTGGGAATCTTCCCTGACCAGGGCTCGAACCCGTGTCCCCTGAATTGGCAGACAGATTCTTAACCACTGCGCCACCAGGGAAGTCCCTCCTTCTTCATTTCTAATGCACTCATCCTTCACAACTCACCTCAATTTCACCTTTTTCTGGAAGCTCTGATCTCTTAGGCTGGGTTAGGGGTCCTGCCCATGTACTCCCCCCAAACGTGATTCTGTCCTGAAATGAAGCCCTCACACTGATCCAGAATCATCAGTTTAGTTGCCTGCTCCCTCCCCATGAGCTATAAATCTCTGGGGGGCACCTTGGGAACCACATTGTAGGTGATTTGTATGTCTGCTACCCGTCCCAGGACCTGGCCTGTAACAGCCTGTGGTAAACATTTATGGAATAAGTGGAAGAGGGCAGTGGGAGAGGGAGCTGGAAAGGTAGGCTGTGGTCAGTTTGGAATGACCCCTGCCAGGCCAAGGATTTCCCATGTTGTGAGATAGGTGATGGGAATGCCTGGATTTTGTTTTCTTGTTTTATTTTGGTTTACTTTGTTTGTTTTTAAGGGAGGAGACAGATATGGTCGGGTTTGTGTGTTTAATGAATGGAAAGGAGAGGGACTTTAAAGCAGTTAAGAGGCCACTGTAATAGTTCAGATAATTTTTTTAAAAAATAGAGGAAAGAAGAGACTATTTTTTGGCCACACCACATGGCGTGTGGGATCTTAGTTCCTCCACCAGGGATTGAACCTGCGCCCCCTGCATTGGAAGGGCAGAGTCTTAACCACTGGAACACCAGGGAAGTCCCAGAAAAGAGACTTAAGACACACTTCCATATCAGAATCAATAGAACTTACCAACCCCTCCTCCTGTCCCCCAAAATAATCCCTTTTTAGACTCTGTTCCCTTGACACTACCCATAGCTTGAGTAGAACGGTGCTATCACATTGGATCTCCTGCAGGCCGGTGGCCAGAGTTGGCCTCACAGCTGAGTGAACAGGAGTACTGGCTCACGAATCACAGGCTGGGTCCCAGTCCTGGCTCTGCAGCTGATGAGTTGCGCAGTTTGCCCAAGGCACTCACACTCCCGAGCCTTACTCTTCTAGTCTATCATGTGCTGGAAATAATAGTATCCAGTTCACAATGAAGAAATTATGTATTCAGACTAACAAACAGTCATGGTAAACCCTTGCGTGAGGAATGTAAATAAATGGTGCAGCCACTTTGGAAAAACGGTTCGGCTGATCCTCAAATAGTTAAAACAGAGAGTCACCACTATGACCCAGCAATTCCTCTCCCAGGTATATACCCAAGAGAACTGAGAACATATGTGGACACAAAAACTTGGACACAGGGCTTCCCTCGCGGCGCAGTGGTTGAGAGTCCGTCTGCCGACGCAGGGGACACGGGTTCGTGCCCTGGTCCGGGAAGATCCCACATGCCGCGGGGCGGCTGGGCCCGTGAGCCGTGGCCGCTGAGCCTGCGCATCCGGAGCCTGTGCTCCGCAACGGGAGAGGCCACAACAGTGAGAGGCCCACGTACCGCAAAAAAAAAAAAAACTTGGACACAAATGTTCATAGCATTGTTATTCATAATAGCCAAAAAGTGCAAACAACCCAATTGTCCGTTAACAAGTGGATAAACAAAATGTGTATAGTGGGAATTCCCTGGTGGGCCAGTGGTTAGGACTCTGCGCTTTCCCTACTGAAGGCCCGGGTTCAATCCCTGGTTGGGGAACTAAGATCCCACAAGCCGCGAGGTGTGACCAAAAAAAAAAAAAATGTTTATAGTAACAGTGAACGTATTATGGTTTGGTCATAAAAAGGAAGGAGGTACTTGGTACATGCTACAACATGGATGAACCTTAAAAACATTATGCTAAGTGAAAGCCAGATGCAAAAGATCCCATATTGTAGGGGTGCACTCAGGAAACGACCAGAATAGGCAGCTACGCTGAGACCGTAGATTAGTCGTTGCCAAAAACGCGGAGGGAGACATGGGAAGTGACTGCTAATGAGTATGGGGTTCCTTCTTGGGGGTGGTGAAAATGTTACGCTGTTAGATAGTGGTGA